TTGAAAAGATGAAATGGTACTATTAATAGAAATAGAATGGTACTAGGAATAAAATGGAAATATAAAACAACTCTTTTGTTTGGTTGAGACTTTGGATCATATCACTACGTAAGGATGTTTATTTTAAATTAAATACAATTAAATAAATATTGTTTATAATTATTTATTATTAAATTATATAATTTATTATAATTGTTTAATTATTCAATATAATAATAAGGATAATAACCACATATTTAATATTAATTGCTATTAGTTAAGTATTTAACTAAATATAATTATGTATAATTGCAACTGCAAATTATAATTAGGATAAATTTTATTTTTACCCCCTGAATTTTGGTCTCTTTATCATTTTACCCTCAAAACTTTGAAAATTGGTCTGTACAACCCCCACATTTTGAAACGTTATTAACTTTGCCTCTTCTATTAAGTTTATTAACAGATTTGATGATGTAGCTGGATTATTTTCATATATACCCCCTGAAGTATGTACTTTATTTAAAAATGTCCCCTAATATATGAAAACATATTAAAATGACTCTAGATTTATAAAAAAAAATAAAATTATAAAAAAAACAATTTTATTAATGCCATTAAAAATTGATTACACATATTGAATTCTAATTAAATCAACGAAAGTGATTAAATATTAAAAATAATAAAAATATATATAAAACACTTTACTTTAAAGAAATTTAAAAATTAAATAAATCAAATATTTTTTAAGAATAAAAAAACCCAAAGGTAAAGAGGAAAAAAGTTTTGAAAAACCGACTTCCTCTTTGTCAATATTTATTTAATTTTGAAAACTTTCCCTCTTTTTATGTTTTGATTTTTGAAAAAAAAAGATTTATTTAATTTTTCAATTTTAAATTCAAGTGTTTTAAATTATTTTTAAATATTTATTCACTTTTCTTGATTTAATTTGAATTTCATATCTTTAATTAAAAATTAATGGCATGCCACGTTATTTTATTATATTTTCTATAGAATGGGGGCATTTTGATCTGTTTTAATAGATCAAGGAGCATTTTTAAATATAGTACATACTTTAGGGGGCATTTATGAAAATAATCTATTAAACTACCCCTCCAATAATTACCACGTCATCAAATCCGATAATAAAATTAATAGACGGCCAAAGTTAATAATGTTTCAAAGTTCAAGGGGTGTGCATACCAATTTTCAAAGTTTGGGGGATAAAGTGATAAAGAGACCAAAATTCAAGGGGTAAAAATAAAATTTATCCTTATAATTATTTATCCAATATTAATATTTTATAGTTTATTATTTTTTTAATAAAATATTATTATTTATTATTGTCTAATTTTTTTAATATAATTAAAGAATGATTATAAATTTTATATTTAATTAATATTTTTAATTCTTTTAATTTTTTAATTATTTATTATTATTATCTAATAATATAATATAATTAAACAGTAATAATAATAATAAAATATAAAATTTTATTATTTATTATGACTATTTCATTTTTTATAATTGTTTTAAGTATTTTTAGGGCTCATATTTTGGCTGAAGTATAAGATGGTAATTAAGGAAGATAAATTGATTTGGGGAATAGAAAAGCGTTTCCACTCATTTAGTTTAGGAAAGGCCATTTCATAAGTATTAAGTTCGGTGGAATTGTCATTCCAATTCCATGGTTGAGGACAAACCAAACAATGGGATGATTAATGGATATAGGAATTGATTCCTATATGCATTCCTACCCTATACCCGTAACCTAACACGACCTTAGATACTAATTCATTACAATAATTAATACATAGAGTACTTAGAGAAATTGCAGCACATTGCATTTTCCATAAACCTATAGAAGGAAAAAGCATAATGCATAATTTTTAGAACTTGAAAAAAAATTATACCACGTGCCTAAACTTATTTTTTGTACCACGCGCCTAAACTTATTTCTTTACTTGAATGAACAAAAAGTGCAGAGCCCCAAACTTCTCTTTTCTTCTTTTTTTTTTATTTTTTTATTTTTTGAATAAAGAAAAACAATTGGAGCTCCTCCCGTCCTCCCTAGAAATGACATAGCTTTTGAGATTTCTCTAGAATGACCATATGCAAATGAGTGAAGGGTAAAATCTGAATATATATATATATATATACAAAGAAAAGGTTAATACAAATTCAAAGGGATAACTAAGGATACATTATGCACGGTTTGGCTTGAAAAGCTCAAAAGTCCAAAAATGGCCTAAATTATACGCCTAAAACTTAAAATTATATCCTTTAGGCGTAGCCTACGATTTCGCATGAGATCAGGAAAAGTGCTTTATTCGCATAAACTTTCTCTAAGCACACAAAACTGTTAAACAGTTCGACGTCAAGTGCTAAAAATGTCAAGAAGTCTCAAACTTTCTCCATACATGCTTCCAAGTTGAAGTTTTATTATACCTAAGACGTTCACTATTAATATTCTTCATGTTCAGTCCCATAACCCTATGACCTTCAAGAATAGTGTCAGTGTTAAATGTAGTTGGGTTTTGTCATCAGTTGTGAGCTTATAGCATCGACAATGCTAATAATAATACTAATATTCTCTAAATTTGCATATTAATTTGATATCTAAAATTTGCTAATATTGGGGGATTTGGAGGAATGCCACTTTTTGAGAGTCCCGTTCATCCATATCACTTTTGTGTAAGTATTTAGACCCGGTTCATTTCACCAATTCGAGTTTAAAATTCGAGTCACATCTAACTTTTTTACTACAGTAAAAAGTTCTCATATAAAATCACATCTCAACTCAAATCAATAAACGAAACAGACCCTTAAGCTTCATTTATACATTGAAATGGTATGAATTCAAAAGTGGTATTGAGCAAAATTTAGGTACTCTATTTCCTAAATTTCCCAAGTAGTTTTTCTCATTGAATTGCATATTACTTTGGGCCTCAAGGCCCTTTCATCTTGTAGTGCATAGAGGATCTCATCGAAAAATTTGATATAGTTCAAGCGAAATATCTTTAATTATCAAATACTCATTCCATTCATAGAACACTCCCAAATAGGCAAGCTAAATACTTACAAATAGCCACTAGATTGAAACAACTGACATGTACATACTACCAAGTCCTTTTTTGTTGCCGGGCTACTTGGAACATATACTGATATATGCATCAACTATTTTACGACTTTGCCAGTTCTGAGTTTCGTGACTTTGTGTGCTTGAGCATGTAACTCGATAAAAAACACAAGCAGTAAACAGCATGTTTAGGTGCGGGCATAGATTTCAACTTTCCTTTTCTCTTTGTGGGGGGAAAATAACAAGAGAAAAGAAAGTTTGACAAAGAGGTATATGCTTAGAATCTAGTGCACATTAGTAAGCAGTTGATACTCTGTAAGTGAATTTGCTACCTCTGTAAGTGAATTTTGCTGGAAACAGTTGATACTCTAGTCAATGATTCTCCTCCTTATAGTTACTCGAAAGGAAAGGGAAACAAAAGAGAGACATAATTGCTTTGTTAAGCAGGAGACCTATCAACCATAATATGCTCAGTACATGGAAATGTACAATCACACTCCCAACTTCATGCGATGAGAAGCTTGTATCGAATTCATATGGAACCTCCAAACTCTTATCCCTAAACCTGAATCTCAAGCATAAAGTCATTCTAGCATCCTATCTCTCGATTTTCTAGGTCTCTAGGTAAGAATGTCAAGAGTTCTTTATCAACAACTTTTCATATCCCCTAACTAATATTCCAGTCTTACATATCAGCCTGAGCACCACACCACTACAATCAGGTCCAAACAACTAAGACATAAGATGACCTATATCAGGCAATCCTTAGGTAACATAAAATGTATCCGTACTATCGATCCCCAAGCCCCACTTCTCTTATGAAAGAGAACCAATATGATGCTGTTTTGAAGTGAAATCACTTTGGCAACTAAAGAATATACATAGGAAGAGAAAGAGAACTGCTATTTACAACATATAGAATTCATCCCTCCCTCTCAAACTAGTTCCATGATCATCCATGCTAAAAGCCTAACAAACTACATGACAATCTAAAGCATGCAATAATACACAACCATACTTACCTTAAAAATCAAAAACCAAAGCTGCTCAAACACGAGAGTTATATAACACACAATGAACCTCCAACTAGACTGGAAAGCCACCATCTATTTGAACACATAATCTAGGGTACGTACTAAATGTAAACTTTCAAGTTAGGAGTAACCAAAAGATCTGAAGCCACATTCATATTCATTCCAAGGGCACCAAGTAAGTCAATTCATACATCTTTTTTGTAAGTCAATTCATACATCTACGAAAGGATAAACTGCATATATCTTAAAGCAAACTTGACAAATTACATAGTAGAAAGATTTCAATTTTCAATCATTCCTCTGAGTCGTGAAATAATTTGATAAACACAGATCGAAACAAAGCAATAAAGATCGACAATCATTAGAAACAATAGCACAGAGCACCACCAAAAATAAACTAATTTTATCTCAAACTCTATTTAAAATACAAATTCACAAAGATTGTTTGCTCCAAACCGTAACCAAATTTCCATAATCAACAGTTATCAGAACTTAACCACAGTATCTCAAAAACCATAAATTCAATCTAGAATCAATACAACGTTGCAGAACCAAGCAGCTTCTTCTCTTATTTCTTATTCTTGTTGTTACCTCCGGATGAGTCACCACCTGCATCCTGTGCCGCCTTCTTCGCCGCCTTTTCTTGGAGGGCCTTCGCATCCCTGCTCATGGAAAAAAAAAAAAAAAAAAAAACCCAGAAAAAAAAAGCCGAAAAACAAAACAAATTAAAGCGAACTCAGTTCTATAATACCAGATTCAAGACACGAAATTTCCTAATAACCCTAAAAACACAATTCGAACACATCTCTTGGCGCAGGTAATCATGAAAAATAATTCAAAACTAGAAAAGAAAAAACCAATCAAAACAAGTTGAATCTAATTTAGTTTATTATTGTCAGACAAATTCAAGACATGAACTTTTGTCAGCTTAAAGAAAAATAATAATAATAAAGCGCTAAACAAGTTGAATCAAATTCAGTTCAATAATGTCAGATTCAAGACTATGAAATTTCCTCAAAAACCCTAAAAATGGCAATTCAAAATCTTTCGGCGAAGCTAATGGTGAACAATAATTCAAAACTAGAAAAATAATAAAATAAACAAGTTGAAGCCAATTCATCTAATTATTGTTCGAAAGATTCAAAACAACATTTTTCGTCAAATTGAATCAAATTCAGCTCAATAGCGTTGAATCCAAGCCATAAATTATGAAATCAAAGAAACGAAATTTTCTGAGAAACCCTAAAAAATTCCCAAAAAAAAAAAGAAAAAAAAAAACCTTTCTCGACGCTGCTCGGGAGTCAAGCCATCGTCCTTGTTCTTGCCACCCTTTCCACCGCCCCGAGACTGAGCCCTTTCCCGATCACGGTCCCTCTGATTCCCGCGTGACCAAAACAACTCAATCGTCAAAGAAAAACATTATACTAACAGATGAGGAGAAAATTTTCGATTTTGATCAAGCAAAACAAAAATTGAAACAAAAAACAAACGAACCTATAATGTAGGATAAATTAGAAGAAATTTCCGATTTTTTTCCAAAAACAAGAATATATATATATATATATATATACACACACGATTAGAAAAGGATATGAGTCATGATTGTAACGAATAAGTAGATTCCGAATGGAGATGGAGTTATGGACGACGAATCGTTGCGACGAAAACCAAGCGCTCAGGTCAAAAGGGGACAAAACAAAGGAGTCGCCTTTTATATCGAATTGATGATCTGCGGGATTACATCTTTTCAACAAGGCTAAATAGGTAATTTTGTTAGGCCAATCCACCGACAGATAATCACCTTGAAATCAGTTGACATTAGTGGTTTCATGATCTATAATCTATAATCTAATGTTGTATTTGTTTCGTTAGTTCAATTTAAGGGGGTAATTTGTATTAGTGGGTCATATTTGTGTTAATATGTTTATTAATTGTGTTAAAAATATCAATTTAAATATGATATATTTATTAAACGTGTTAAAAATATCAATCTAAATACGATTCATTTAGTAATTGCGTTAACCCGTATAACTCGTTTAAATTAATATATTGAATAAATAATTAATATAATAATGACTTATTTAATACTGTCAAGACAGGTTTAACATGTTTATTGGTCAATTTATCTTTTCCTTTAAGAAAAATAAATGAATTTTACATACAAATATTAAAATTCACATTATTTTGTATTTAATATGTCATATAAACTTTCATGTTATATCACATATCATTAGATTACATATAACACATATAGTTTATCGCGTCAATTCGTGTTAGGAGGTCAACTCTAACTCAACTCATTTATTAATCGTGTTAATCGTGTCAACCTGATTATGACCCAAACTCATTTATAATAAACTCAAACCTGCTAACTTCGTGCGGGTTTCGAGTCGTGTCGTCATGTCGTTACTCGGATTGTTAGCCCTAATTCAATCCAATTCCCCCAGCGCCCCCTCCCCCATGCCATCCCCCGCTACTCGAGAAAATTACAGAATTTATCCTTAAAAGTGTATGAGTCTGGATTTTTACTCATCATTCTAGAAATACCCTTTTGTAATTATAGTTATTTGACTATAAAAGTTATTAATCAAGAATAAATCCTAATCCATATACTTTTAGAGGGTATTTGTCTACTTCCCTCATTCTGCTCAGTTCAAGCGGCCCAACTGTTCAAATAGGCGTTTGGTGACGCATTTATTTTAAATTATATGGGCAGTTTAGTTTGGATAAAACGACCCAAATCAAAGTTTTATTTAGAGAGGCAAGAACGGGCCGGCCCATTCTCCTTAGGCCCACGCAGGTCGTGGGCCGGCCCATTCTCCTTAGGCCCACACAGGCCGTGGGTGGGGCTGGCCCAGCCTACAAATTTTGTGGGCCGGCCCATATAAGAATTACCTCGGCCCAAACCACATCATGTGCCAATTTTATGTGGGCCAGGCTGTGTCGTGCCATTGGTCAGGATGGACTGTGTCATGAGCCTTGAATAGGCTTGAATGAGCTGACCCATTAAAGGCCCATCTCGGCTCGTCATAGGTTTAGATGTGCCAATCTATCTAAGCATGTAATTTTTAATTTTTTTAATTTTATTTTTTATTTTTGAATTTTTAAACAAGTTAACAAATATAAAAGTTTGAATAGTTAATGAAAATATGAAAATAAATATTTTATTTACGATTGTCTCATTAAATAAAAATTTTACTAAGAAAAATCCAGTGGGATAAAACCTTAATAAAGAAAAAATAGTATAATTAGAATAATTATACATAAAATATTTACAAAATTACTAAAAAAAATATAGATGAAAATATTATGTGTCGGCCCGTCTAGGCCTATAATTTTTCATAGACCGTGCCATGAACTGATATATATTAACCCAATTTAACGTACTAATATTTTTAAATTAAGTCGTGTCTTCGACAATGACACACCGTGCTGATCCGACTCGTGACTATGTCAAGAAGATGGGTCTGGGCCTACCCCGGCCCATTCTTCCATCTCTTGTTTTATTCCCCCTTCCGTTTCACTTTTCAGACCAATCTTCCACAACGATTTCATTTCCATCATTCTCACCTTACTTGGCGTGGGCCCCACTTTTCAAATTTTGACTGTTCTCACCTGACTTGGCATGGGCCCCACTTTCTGTCCAGACAAAACAAATACACATGCAAATAGCATTTAGCCTCACCAGATAAATAAATAAAAGGGTAAAATCATTTTAATATCTATATATAACAAAACATTCAGTTATTATACTATGTTTTTTATAATATTAAAATAATATTATCAAGTTTTATCAAACATTTCGTACCGTCAAGTCATTTTTTTGATGCAAAATGATGAATTTACCCTTATCACTATTCTCCCATTTTCTTGACCCGAAATTCAATTTGAATAAACGATTATAATAAAAATGTTATGCTTGTAAGTTGTAACCAAACATCGTTTGGGTTAAAAAAAGATTTGGTCCCTTTTTTTTATTTTTCCCTTCTCCTCTGATTCTTAAATTCGAAGAGAAGTGACGTGTTGTTTGGCAAAAACTCTTCGTTGAAGAAAGCTTAAAGCATCAACCCTAATATTGTGTGTCTTGGAGATTTCGGGTAAGTCAGTTTTGAATTTTGATGGAAGCTAGGGTTTATGATTTTGTAAATGTTTTCTTTGGTATTTGTGACGAGATTAACTAAAAATTACACTGAGAAAGTGTTCTGCAAACTATGGTTGCTAATGTTGTTGTCTTGGTTGTTGGTTTGTCGGATTTATGTGAATGAAAATCTGAAAAGAAAGGTCTAAATTCTTGTCTATTTGTTCTTTTCTTTTTCCGTTTTATCATTTTTTTTTTTTTGGTTTTTAATGTATTTGTTTTCTATCTTGTGCAGTTTAAGTGAATGAAAATGCAGTCCTCATGCTCGAGTTCTAAGGGAAGGATGAAGAGGTTGAAATCAAGGCCTCGTTCGTTCGCTTAGATTTGAGTTTTCAATTTGAGTTGAGATATAATATTTTTTGAGAATTTTTAACTGTAGCAGAAAAAGTTAGACGTGACGATTTTAAAAGAGTTTTTAACTGTGGAAATTTAGGCTCCGTTCACTTTACTGATTCGAGTTTTGCTACAGTAAAAAGTTCTCATAAACAGTCACATTTAACTTTTTTATTTCAGTAAAAAATTTTCACATAAAGTCACATCTCAACTTGAATTAAAAATTTAAATAAACGAACTAAACGAATTTTTAAAACTAAAAACTCGAGTCGGTAAAATGAATGAGACTCAAATTTCATAACAGGATGTTCAATTGTAAACATAAGGTAGAAGTTTTGATCAGTGACAGTGTTAACAATCCAAACCGATTGACATTTAGGTGCCGGTCTAAAAACTGTGGCTGGTATTAATGGTTGTACTACGAGGATGATAATGACGGAATTGTGGAACCTGCTCTGAACAGAGTGATTAACACAGATTATTTCAGAGTGACTAACACATTATTTCGATGGGAATAGAGAATTGAACAAGGGTGTCGAAAGTAGTCAGAATGTAAACTTAAGTGTGTTGTCCAACCTTTTAGATTTGAAGGATCGCCAGGAGAAAATTAAAATCTTGCTAATGGTTGTATTGTGGTGCGATCCTTTTTGTTGTCATTTTGGTTGCTATTAAATAAGTAAGGTTGTACTTGGTGTTTATTTGCTACCATTTTGGTTGTAATGGATTCCTTTTTGATATATGAATTTCTCTGCTTTATAGTTCTTCTCCGCTTTAGAGTTCTTCTCTGATTTTCAACCTGATGTGTCTACTCTCAGTGTTATTGTCAAGTGCTTTTGCTGTACTGTATGAAGAAAGTAAAATAGAGACGTTTAGTTCATGGATTAAAATCATGTGATTAAAACTATTTTTGATTTATGTGTATTTTTTGTAAAAGAAAACACTGTAACAAACTATGAACCATGATTCAAATCATTGTTTGAATCCTCCAACCAAACATCCAATTGGTTTCTTTGTTTTAGCAACTATGATTAAAAGTGGTATTCAACCAAATGCTTGTACAATGAACACTTTGCTTCATGGGCTTTGCATGATTTTGTTGTGAATGTGGATCCATGGTTGTGCGTGATTACACTGTCAGTTTGCCCCGATTGAATCCATCTCTACTTGTTGTCGTCTTGGCTCCGTGACTCTCATTTTGATTGTCGTTTTAGACCCCCTACTGTGCTTGTTGTTGTTTTGGATCCCATGTTTTGCTGCACCTGCATGTCGTTTTTGACCCTCCTCCCCTCTGTAGTTGCTATCATTTTTTATCCGCTCCTTTGCCTGACATTATTGATTTTAGATCATTTTTAGAGCTATAAAAATGCTTGATCGTGCTTAATTACTTTCTTTTAGCAGTAAGACAAACTTGCAGAATATATCAATCTGCTTAGTAATTATGTGATGTATTCATTTCTTATTCTCATTATTACTATTTGTGCTAGAATTCCCCTTTAGTATTAGTCATATTTTCTTCCCTCGAAATTCAATTTGTTTGACTGTAGATCTTCTTGTTTCGTAACAAGCACAGAAGTTTGACTCTTGTGAATGTTTTACTGATTTATTTAAACAGCACTTCTTATTTTTTGTACCCTTGTTTATGCTTTGTGTGCATGCTACCGATTTGTACCCCCTCTCATATTGTTATTGATTTTAGAATAAATTAGGGTCTATTTAGTTTGCTGATTCGAGTTGAAATATGACTTTATGAGAAAGTTTTTTACTATAATAAAAAAATTAGATGTGACTATTTCTGAGAGTTTTTTTACTATAGCAAAACTCGAATCGGGAAAATGAACAAGGTTTAAGTACAGTAATCATATTCTAATACGTTGTACTTTTTTTTTTCATTTTATTCCGGTGTACCTATTGTCATAGTGGATGAACATGGTAAAGGTAGAAATTCAGTCGTCTGTCAGTGTTTGGATGTCTATATAAAATTAAAATTACTAATGTTGCTACTGTTGTCTTTTATTTCTAGACTAACGTTGTACTAATGTATATATGTGTGTGTTTTTGTTTGAGGAATCATTCTTTACATGCCATATGTGGATGATTGATCCTGGCGAAAGACCATAACAATAGCCAAAGAGCATAATATCATTGTCATTCACTGATAAAACACTAATGAGAATTATTGCAATTATCTTCTAAAGGACCAGTAACATCCTCTGAGACTATTAAGATCAAATTAATAAGCAATTATTTTCACATGCTTGTAAGACAAGACAAAATGGATTCCAAGGAATACTCTACGTTTAACAAAACACTGATTTCTTCTTTACACACCTTATAAATGAAGGGTCTCATGACACCAAATCACAAATATTGCCAACTACGCAAGCTCTTACTCACATTAAGCATTAGCCATCTAGTATTGCTATTAAAACAAAAACAAAAAAACAAAAAAAGGAAAAGAAATCAACTTGATCTCCTTTTTTTTTAATATATTGAGGTCTATTTATAATTATTGAACCTGGTCAAAATTACATCAAAATAAAAAAGTATGCAGATCAGACAATTTCTTATACATATTTAACGATTGAAATAGTAAATTATCAATGGTTTAATTTTTCTGGTGTCACCAGAAAAATGCCTTTTTATTTTTGAATGATTGGAATTTTAATCCGATTTGTTTTTTTTCAAAAAAAAAGCAAGCCTTTCGGGTCGAAAAAAACATTTTTTCCTATATATTGTTTGCCACGCTTAAGCTAGCTCATCTCGTCGTTTTATAGATGTTGTCGTTTTTCTAAGATGATGTCGTTTTCTAAAATGTTGCTAATTACTAGCTTTCTGCTTTAATGAACGTCGTTTCGCTAAGACATTTTCGTTCTTGAGCTGCCACTGTTTCCCTAGATGCCGTCGTTTCTCAATATTGCTCATTTATGCTTCTGTAGTCTTTCAATTTTTTGGGATGATGTGCAGTTGAAATTTCTGTAATTGCATCTGAGAAAGAAGAAATGAATTGTAAAGAAATAAGAGGATAGCGCTACGCTAATGCAATTGCTAATGGAAACTCATGGTATGACAAAAATTTCATGCTCTAACTTTTTCGAGCTCTTATTTTCAAATTTTTCTTAGAATTTTTAACTGTAACAGAAAAAGTTAGATGTGACATTTTGTATAAGTTTTTAACTGTAAAAATCTAAAACTAAAAATTCGAATCGGTGAAATGAACGAAACCTTATTCATTGTACAATCAAAATAATGGAATAAATATAATTAGGATAGTTATTTACTTCAAATAATAATAATAATAATAATTAAGATAATCATCCAACCAAAAGGAATTGTTCTTAACTGACAAAATTAACTTTGGCTAGTGTATCCACTGATTTGATGCCTTCTCTAATAACAAAATAAACGACAATCATCAAATACAATAGGACAATTTACAACATTAACAGCTTCTAGATAATTGCTTTCTGTAACACTAGGCACTAAACCACAATTAAATGCAAAGCGAAGTACTTCTCCAATAGCTAAAACTTCCACATTATGGGCAGAGAAAAAACCATTAACCTACTTGGACATATCACTACTAACTACACTAGCACGTGCGTTTTGTCCTTTTTTTTTTTTTTTTTTTTTTTTTTTAAAAACTTTTTTATGTAAGAGAAAATACTGTAATAAAAATATTTTAAGAGAGAAAATACTGTAATAAAAAATTTAAATTATGATTTGAGTTGTAAAAAGAATAATGACACGTTTGAGTTCACGAAGGTCACTTGTTTTGGCCATGGACAATCCCATTTCTGTCGAACCAAATGCATCATAGCAACGTAACAAACAATTCAAACTGATATCTGGGACTGGGAATATACTTTAATTTTCCTTTGAAACAAATAAAAATACTTGTTCAAGTCTTCCATTGGTGATTTTTCATAATATTGGCTTGATTGGTAATATATCAAGCTCTAATTGGGACTTCCGTGGTACTCAATTAGGCAATTTTCTGGATAATTAAATTATGATTAAAGTACAAATTCCGAGTACTAAATACCATAAGATACAACTTTACATTAGATCCAACCTTCAGCGCAAAAAAAAAAAAGAAGATCCGGCTGGTACGACGCTTTATCTAACCAACTTACAATCAATTTGTTATGTTATATATGATTTCATATATCTTAAATTTAACTAATTGAAAATAACAAGAAAAAACTTTATAAATAAGTTTAGGTGTATAATATATATATATATATATTATCTGTTTTGGCGTTGAAAGTTTGAAACTCATTTTAAAATAATTTTATTTTTTTGTATGAAAATGAAAATGAAAATGTTTTTAATTTTAGATAGAAATTATTTTTGAAAATACATTTAGTAGTTTTATCAAGAGATTGTTTTCAATATAAACAAATCTATTAATGTCTCTCTCTCTCTGTGCTCGAGAGAAAAGAAAACGAAAATAAAAAATGAAAAACGACTAAAAGTCGTTTTTCATTTATCTCTCATTTTATACTAAACTAAAAAAATCATTTTCATTTCTGTTTTTTATCTTTAATTGTGTCAAACGCCGTTTCTCTCCCGTTTTCATTTTTTTCTCGAAAAATGTGAAAAATAAAAACAAAACCGACTTCAAATACGGCCATAGATTTCAAAAGAAACAATTCTGGTCTACTTAACATTAACATGTGACATGTTATTAATTCATGTTTTACAAAAGTAAACTCAAAGAGTAGTAATCAGACAATATCAAAACAGAGTTTATGGGCATTTGGGAGTTCCTCTCTTGGTTTTCCAGTTGTTGTAGCATGGACACTCGTCCTTATGTCCATATGTGCCTGAGGGAACACAAAGGCATTTGTTGCAACATTTGTTGCAGAAGAACAAACATGGCTTTTTGTGATGAGTCTCCGAGCACCTATTAGCACATGCCTTTGGGCACTCTACAAATTTTTAAACCAAAAAAAAAAAAGATAAGATAAAATCATGTTAGTAAATTAATAAGAGATTTTTCTGGTAAGCACAAAAAAATAAATTACTAAAAAGATTTGTTAGATTTGTATCAGAAACTGTCTATTTTACATATTTTTTCAATTTGATGTAATTTTAACTAAATTCAACCTTCAGAAATTAACTCTAGTATGAAGGTCCTATCGCAAAAAGACCCAAATTAATATTGTTAATCAAGCTTTTAACAAAGAGTAATATGAAATTCCATGAATTCCAATTACCATATGCTTTTTACGATTTCTTGAGCACCTATATAACGAAATAATTACATCATTTTTTCATGTTACAAACTAATGTAATTTTGTTTGAAGTAAGAAAATAGGAAAAAAGAAAAAGAAAGCTTCTTGACAACATATCTGATCAACTTGAAATATTATTGTGAAAGATATCGGATTTAACTAAAAAGAATGGAAGAAAAGTCTATATGTACCTTGGGGAAGAAGTGATCCCTCCTTGTCAGCCTGGAAATGTATCAAAACAATGCCAAACGTTTATAAAAATGACGTTAAATGTTAATATATAACAATAATAATAATAAGGAATATTTATGGTGGAGAATGTTATTTTGCTCCACTGATAGAAACTGTTATTTTTAACTGTTAAATTAATTTTTTAACGTTTATATCTGTACATGATCGCACTAAATATATAATATGTAACATATAATTGTTCCTACTATTAGATCGTTAAAATACTAGTTAAAATACAGTTTTCTTCTCATCATAAATGCATCTAATAATAATAATAATAATAATAGGAACAACAACAACAATAAAATAATTCAATGATTCATAATTCTAAAAGACGGTTACATTTTCTAACACTTCTTTTAAGATGTAGATGAGTATCTAGAAAAGCGTCTAAACTACAATTACTTTACTCTTTCAGTTTTTTTTTTTTTTTTTGGTGATGATCTAATTAAAATTACTTCTTCCAGTTTAAATTTATACGTACAATAAGAAAACAAAATAATAATAATTAGACTCTAAAATTATATTGGGTAAAATTTGCAGCAATAAACCTACTGGCTGATCCTCATGGGTTAAAATACCGGCACTATTGTCGTTCCCTTGAGCCTGCAATAATAATTAGTCCCAAGAATCGAAGATTTTGAAGATCAAGCATTAGGCCCCGTTCATTTCGCCGATTCGAGTTTAGAATTCGAGTTTTGCTACAGTAAAAAGCTCTCAGAAACAGTCACATCTAACTTTTTTACTACAGTAAAAAGCTCTCACACAAAATCACATCTCAACTCGAATTACAAACTCGAATCAGCGAAGTGAACGGCCCCTCTCACTCTCACACACGAGCGCGGATATATATATATATATATATATTTAGAGAGAGATAAAGAGAGAAAGAATACCTCTAAAGTATCAATGGCAAACGAAGAGGCAAAAATAAAGAAGAAAACCACAAGAATCCAAGTTTAACTAGCCATCTGTTTGATGTTTTTACTTTTACTTTTCTCGTGTTTTTCTAAGAGCGATCGATATTGAACAATGCATATTGGTTGTCATATATATAATATATATTACAGCACAATGATGATCGATATATTCATGGCATAATATATATGGTAATTAACTAAATTAGTAGATCTTTGTCGGCAAGTGTTATGCACAAAAAGCACTAATATAAGATTTCATTCTTTTTTAGCTAAAGCCTAAACGTACAAAATCTCAAGAGAAACTTGTAAAAATTCACCTTTAAACACATCTTTTTAGAGTTCTACGGGATATTATTTGATAATAATTCATCAAATTATAAATAATAATTTATCAACTTTTAAATATTAATCCGTTAAATTAAGCTCGTCGGAGACCGTCGCCGGCGTAGCCATCTCGTATGGCCTTTTCAGCCGCAAAACTGACGGACGAGGAAAACAACAACGACGACGACAAGATCGGGAAAGCATTTTCCTTCCTTTTAGAGATAAATCTAACAACTGAAATTTAAAATAAAAAACCCAGATCTGTAAACTAAACATAAATAAAGAAATAAATAAAAATCAGATGCAATCTCATTCAAAGAAAGCTGTCCCTCCAAGGCCCTCGCACCCAGGCCTGACTTCCATCTTCCCTCCGCAGCAACTCCCTTCGGCGACTCGTCCCCTCGCGGGCGACGAGTCCTGCAACCTCACTCACCATCAAGCCGAAGGAAAGTACACCATCAATGGGGAAGAAGATGTTTTTGCAAATTTGTGGCTTTATGTAAAGCATTTTTAATTTAAAATCTGATTTTTTTTTTCCTTTTCTTTTCCTTCTCCTAATTTTTGTTTTGTTTTTATTAGTCTTTGAATTTATTTTTTTTTTATGTATTTTATGTTAAGGCTAATTGTTTTTTTGATTAATAACTAAGTTTTATATTTTCAAATAACTTTTATAAACCTTAACAACATACCACATCAGCATTCCGTTAAAATTATAAACGGAATTAAATAGATGGAGTAATTTGATTTAATTTTTATATATTAAAAGATATTTTAAATCGTTTTAAAAAACATAATTTGAAGATATTTATAAAAATAATCTAAGAAAAATATATTTACAATGGGCAGTTTTTAAACCCTAATATAAAATCGGAGTCAATTTCAACTATAGTTCCGTTCGGTTCGTTAATTCGAGTTTTTAATTTGAGTTGAAATGTGATGTTGTGTGAGAGCTTTTTACTGTAATAAAAAAGTTAAATGTGACTGTTTCTAAGAGCTTTTTACTGTAACAAAACTCAAATTTTAAACTCGAATCAGTGAAAAAAACAGAACCGGTCTCAGGCGGGAAAAAACAAAAGATAATTTAACAAAAACATAATTACTTTACTCAGAAATATTTAACTGGAAAAGTGAATTCTAATTGTGACCACTAATCTTTTCTTCTTCTTTTCTTTCTGACCTTTATACCAACTTTAGAAATCTCTCAAGCAGAATTTGTATTTTAATTTGTTTTTAACAATTTTAACATTTTACAATAAATAAAAATGTATATCTACTAACGGCTCGTTATATAGTAGTGATAAATTTTGTTCCATTTTTATCTAAATTTGATTGCCGCTAACATATACATGTATAAATATTAAGCGAAGCTGGAAATTTCATTAATTACCGATCGAATCATTGCGTACAAGCTTCAAAAGGGATTAATAAAAGAAAGCACCAAATTGGGCAAAAAAACATCAATAGAGAGAGTATGAACATGACTGAATAAGGTATTATTCATTTTACATAATAAGTCATAACTCAAGTATTATTCTTACAATATTTTTTCTTATAAAATTTTAAATTTATTTTTTTGTTATAATATTTTTTTTACATACACAATTCAAGTTATGACTTGAATTGTAAAATGAGCACACCCTAAATGTGAGCTCACAACTCCATATAACAAACAAAACTACAATGAACTTGACATTGTAAAAATACTAGCTTTTGTTGCCCGGACAGGAGTTGACTCCATCCGATTCCACCATCGAATATGAGAAACCATAAGGGTGCGTTTGGTTGCAGTGGGGGAATGATAATAGGAATGGTAATGAAATAGAATGGAAAGGAAATATAATTCATTTGTTTGGTTCTACTTTTTCAAATGCAATAGAATAGGATAAGAATATTTTCATGTTGACAAAATTACCCCTCATGTTAATATAATTAATATCATATATATTAATATAATCATTTAATAATTTTTTTGCTACAGTAAAAAGTTCTCAGAAACAGTCACATCTAACTTTTTTACTACAGTAAAAAGCTCTCACACAATATCACATCTCAACTCGAATTAAAAACTCGAATTAGCGAACCGAACGGGCCCTCAAATCTTTTTCTAATTGTATTTTCTCACATAAAATTTAGAGTTCCATTCAAATCTTCAGACTAAACGCCAATGTATATTCTAATGAACTGTTTGTTTCACTCCATGACCTCTAATTTTTTTCTTTCCATTTTTTTTTAAAGGATTCTTTGATACTTTATACTCTATTCAAAGGAGAGTTTCTCTCCTACTCTATTTTATCAGTAGTTTCAGTTTTTAATCGTTGAATCTGATCAAAATTACATCAAATTGAAAAAATATGTAAAAAATCTAACGGTTAAAAAATAAAAGATTATTAGTAGTCTATTTTTATAGGATTAAAGCCCCTTTAAAAAAGAATTGTCTAACATCTAAAGGACAAATTACACTTGCCCTCCTAAACTATTAGCCTTTTGCTAAAATGCCCCATAAAGTTTAAAAATAATAAATTTTCTCCCTGAACAATTTACCGTTAGCACGCATCCCCTTTTACGTTCCATCGGTTTAATTTTGAACGTTAAGTAACACGTGGAAGTCGCTAATGCATTTAATTTTTATTCTATTATTAAATGATGACTTTGCCCTTGAAACTCAGTATACTATTTCTCAATTTATCTTTCGTTAATCATCTCATTTTTTTGCCTCTCAAAATCTAAATCTACAATTTGAATCTATTGCTGACTCAAATTTTGAATCAATTCCGAATTCTAATCTCCAATTCACAAACTCATCATTCATGTCTTTCTCTAGAACCCAACATAATGGGTCTCCCAGATTTGCATGAGAAGAACAATATCAAAATCTTGTAATTTTCAAAATCTACATGAGCTCGTCGTTTAACAAACCCAGATAAACGAGTTTCTTGTTCAATCACAGAACTAGTACCTTTCAATCACAAATATCGAGGTCTAAATTTTCAGACCCAAACAAAGCTACGAGTGTCTTCTTCAATCACATCGCAGTGGAGAGGACTATCCCGGTCAGAATCGTGTGGGTCTTCGTCAAGAAGAGCCGATCGGAGCTGGATCTAGGTCGGTGGCGGGAAATCGCGACGATTAGAGGCGTGACGGCGATCCTAGGCGTGATGAAGTGGGCAATTTCGATCAAAATGCTAGATCTGTGAGGGCCTACATCGCGAAGGACATATTAGGGCTGGGTTTGGTCCGGAGTATGAACGACAGCCACGAGAGATGGAGATCGTCGCTAGGTTGAGGTCAGATGTGGAGATGGAGCGTCAAAATCGTCATTTCATAATAGTATAATGGGTTTTAAGTGCAAAATCGTTATTTCATAATAGAATAAAAATTAAATATCCCAATAATTTTTACGTGTCACTTAACATTTAAAATTTAACCAAATAGACAGAAAAGAGAAACGCATACTAACGGTGAATTATTCAGAGAAAATTTGTTATTTTTAAATTTTAACAAGCATTTTGATAAAAGGCCAATAATTTAGGGGAGAAGTATAATTTGTCCGAATCTAAATGCAATTTCCCTTTCGTAGAAAATACTATTGAAAAACCATGTCTTTTTGTGTCCCCTCCACCAAAAAAAAAAAAAAAAAAAAAAAACCAGAGAAGACATTGGTTTACCATTACATCTTGGCAACGATAAAACCCTTCATCTCCCAATCTCTCTCTCTCTCTCTCTCTTCTTGTGTTTTGGCTCTCTCTCTCTTTCTCTGCCCTTTGTGTAGTTTTAACTTTCAACAAAAAAGAATAACACCGTAAGACTATAACCCTTTACTAATGCGCTTGTTTCTTCTGTGCCTTCCTCTCTCACAAAATAACCTTCTTAGTAGATCCTAATCTCTCAACACAAATCGCTTCAATTTCTTCTTCTTCTTCTCATGTGAACGTAATCGCCTCTAAACTTCTATCCGACTCTTCTTCTTCCAACTTTTCAGGTAAAGAAAATTAAATCCGCCATTTTCTTTTAAATCTTTTTTTTTTAAAAATAAGCCTTGTTGATACTGTTTCAATCGAAATCTTCATCTGGGCTCTCTTGTAAAGCCCGAATATTTAATGGGGTTTTTTTTTTGTTCCATTTTTTTTTATTTTTTATTTTTTATATTTCTGTTCTAGTAGCGGATTGATTGTTGCTCATCTTAGTTCCTTTTATACTTACAAGTATGAATGTTTAGTGGGTTTTAATTTTTATCTGATTTGTTCTCGTTTTGCTTATAATCTTAAGTAGTTTAACTATTGAAATTTATTTCACTTGCTTGGGAATGCTTTTGCTTATTTATTTATGGTTGTTTTGATTGATGGTCGTATTATCTATAGTCTTTTTTTTTTTTTGGCATTTATTTGGATTGGATTTAGGTAGTGATGGGGAAGAAAGTTAAGAAGAAGAGCCGAACTCCTCAAAAGGAGAAACGGGCTGCAGCCATTTCCCAGAAAAATGTATCCGAACCGAGCAGCCGAAGTGTTGAAATGGTAGATAATTTAGTTTCAGAAGCAAAAGAGAAAAAATCTTGTCCCCATTTAGATAAAGGTGTTGATTTGGAGGCACTGTCTGCTAAAATTGGGTCTTCAGAACATGATAGGTGTGAAGACTGTAGGGAAGGCGCCGCTGATAGGAGGGGCGGTAGGGGAAAAGGTAAACATGGAAAGAAGAAAGGGGGTGGTTCGGCCGAACTCGAGTCAAAAGCCATTTGGGTTTGTCTGAAATGTGGACATTTTGCTTGTGGAGGGGTTGGACTTCCGACGGACTCTCAGTGTCATGCAATTAGACATACCCGGCTTACTCGTCATCCACTAGTTATCCAGTTGGAAAAGCCTCAGCTGCGATGGTGCTTCCCCTGCAATACACTTGTTCAAGCAAAGAAAACAGAAGAAAATGGTGGACAGAAGGATGCTTTTTCTGAGGTTGTAAAATTGATAAAGGGGCGTACATCGGAGGGGTCAGCAGTAAACGTTGAGGATGTAGGGTTTGGGAGTGGCAGTGTCACAACCGAAATAAAATCTGCTGCTGCTGTGGCAATTGATTGGGATGGACAAGGTGGTTATGTAGCTAGTGGGCTGGTTAATCTCGGGAATACTTGCTTCTTCAATTCCGTGGTGCAAAACCTTCTTGCAATGGATAAGTTGCGAGATTACTTTTTTAAGTCGGACGTATCTGTTGGACCTCTTACTATGGCCTTGAAGAAGCTTTTTGTGGAAACAAAACCGGATGCGGGTTCAAAAAGTGTGATAAATCCTAGAGCTGTTTTCGGATGTGTTAGTTCCAAGGCTCCCCAATTTAGGGGATATCAACAGCATGACAGTCATGAGTTGCTTCGTTGCTTACTTGATGGACTGTCTTCAGAGGAGTTGGGAATGAAGAAACAGATGAATTCTTCCAAGGAAAATGGTAACTCTTCTAGTCTAGGGCCTACTTTTGTCGATGCTGTATTTGGGGGACAAGTAGCAAGTACCGTACGCTGTGTTCAATGTGGACATTCCTCAACTGTTTATGAACCATTTTTAGATCTCTCTTTGCCAGTGCCAACTAAGAAACCTACATCTAAGAAGTCTCAGCAAGCCTCTTGGGAAAAGAAAGCTAAGGTGCCACGAAAGAGAGGCGGAAAGACCAGGCCAAAACTTAACCGCAGTATAGAATCTGCTGCAGTTGCTTCACCGATCAAAGAACTTTCCTGCGAACCGCAGTCTAGCTCTACTGGTCCGACTACTGTGGCCGAAGAAAATGGTTCAGTCGTTCATAATCCCGCTCCTGTTGAGGAAACTAAAAATAAACAAGTATCTGAGGATGCTGCAGAGCAAACATCTGCTTTGTTAGATGATTTTACGTGGTTGAATTATCTTGAGCCCGAAGCTCCTTTTGGTGACTATTCGTCGACTGCGATTGATGCTGCTGAGTCAATTATCCAAGATGTGGAGGGCGAGGATATATTGAAAAATGATGTCCATGTACCTGAATCCAATGAGCAGGTTTTACCTCTCAATGAGGAGCCAGATATAAAACATCAGTTTTCAACGGTTGACCCTTGGGAAGATGAGATCCCTTTGCAGGTTCAAAGCTCTGAGGTTTTACTTCTTCCATATAAGGAAGAAGAAAACTCAGCTTTTGTTGAGTTTGGAGAAGGTGAGGCTTCTTCATCGATTCATGGTGTTGGTCAAGAGGATTTTGATGGCTTTGGTGGCTTATTCGACGAGCCTGAGGTATCTACAGGACCCATTGTCGGGCCTTCCATGGCTAATGAAATTGCGGAAACTGGGTTTATGGCAGGTAATAGTAGTGAGTCTGATCTAGACGAAGTTGATGATACAGATTCTCCAGTGTCTGTGGAAACTTGTTTGGCTCACTTCACAAAGCCAGAGCTTCTTTCAAACGAAAATAGTTGGCACTGTGAGAACTGTTCCAAAAAGGTCCTCCGCCAAAAGTTGAGGGATAATAAGCAGTCAAAAGCTGCTGCCAAAACTTTGGTAAATGGATGTGGGACGAGAACCCAAAGTGATATAGGGAATTCAAATAAGGACCCTTGTCCAACAGAGGTCAGCAACACTAACAACAATTTTCAAAGTGTTGCTGATTCAAACAAGTTTGATGCAGCTATGAATTGCTCAATTAAAAATCATACGGCTGAAGAAAATGGTCAACAAGATAAGATAGATCCTTTTGTGCCTCAAGGGGAAGAAGGGATCGCAAAGAAGGATGCAGCTCAAGAGCAATCGAATTCTTCAGGATCCTATTACACTTGCAGGCAAGAAAGTTTAAGTGATCAAGCAATAGATTCTTCCTGTGCTGATGAGCCCAGTAGTGCTGGAGCTATCAGTGAAAGTGTTCAGCAAGGTGAATCTAAGCTATTGCCTAAAAATGGCGAATTGGAGGAAAGTGGAGATGATGAAATATATTCTGAAACTGTGAAGGTTAAGAGGGATGCAACAAAGAGAGTTCTTATTAATAAAGCTCCGCCTGTTTTGACCATTCATCTTAAGAGGTTCAGCCAAGATGCTCGGGGTCGGTTAAGTAAATTGAATGGCCATGTTACTTTTAAAGAAACGATTGATCTGAAACCATATATGGATGCCAGGTACCTTTCTGATCTTTACATTGTTTCATTCACGTCATTTTGTTGCTATTATTTTAAGCTTCATAACAGAATTGCGGCTTGTCATCTTGTTGCCTTGTGTTGATATTACTATTTTTTAAGTGCCATAACAACATCATTTTATGTAATCTTCTGTGCGGTGAACGTCTGTCTTTTTTTATTTATCAATTATGTTTTTTGTTTTTTTACCCCTTACTTGCAAGGAATATCTTTGTTTTTTTTCATTGTTTATTTTTACTGAATGACTCTGCAATATGCAAAGTTTCAATATCTTGTCTGATTATGGCCTATTTGGCTCCCTGCCAACGATCATGCATATACATGGATTAGATTTTAAGGTTTAGATGTCAATCGGCAAGAAGACCATGTGTACATTGTCACATTTCATAGTTCCATATATTGTTAGTTGCTACTGATTTTATTTTCTTTTGCTAGCTTCTTAATAAAAACTTGGTTTTGGTTATTTATTATTGCTTTTTAATACACATTCTCCATGGGACATTGTGTACCTCATAGGTGCTCTCGCTTACATCTCTTTGATTTAGTTCAATATATCAGCTTAGCTTTCATCTGGTTCTGTTTTAGTTTTAGAATGCCTGTCACAAACTAAAAAGTCTTTTCTGCTTATGATTTCTGAAAATCTAAGAAATGCTGCTTCATGTCAGTTTAAAGGAAGTTACCAAGTGTTAATCCAACACCTTTTTTTTTATTATTTTTTCTTCAGTCCAACACGTATATGTTTCTTCAAGAACTTGCCAAAATTTTGTTACAGAAATTCAGTTTGGCTCTAGGGGAATACTTTGTCAATTTTGAAAGAAGTTTGGTGTATTATTAGAGTTGGATTCCTAATTTTCTTCGTGTCCTTGGTCTGAGATAAGATAGTGATTTAGTCTTGGGATTGGATACACGCCTTAGGTTCAAGCCTTGCAAATCTAGGAAAAAAAATAGGAGTTAAAATTAGGGTAATACCCTTATTCAGTAGTCTCTAGTTCAACCTCTTTTGGAGGTGGGGATATATGCTGGCTTGATTTTGAGATGCACCTGATGAAAATAAGTTTTCATGATTTATTAACCAGAAATATGGAACTTAAAATTTATGCAACATGCTGTGACCTGTGAGTTCAGAGGATATGGTTCTATACAAGTTAAGGCTTGGTGATTTTGATAGTCAGAATTATACCAACTTATTTTTGGACCATGCAAATCAAATTTGGGTAATAAAAAAAAAATAAATAAATAAATTTGGAGAATGATTGGTTTTGAAGCTGTAAATATGGGCCAGCCCACAGCCCCTCACTTTGACGAGGTGGTGCCCAAACTCCATAAGGATCCGGGCTGAGCTGGCCTAGATTTCTTGCTCGTGTGCTGGGCCATGCTGCATAGTTGTTGTTGTTGTTGTTATTTTTTATTTTTATTTTTACTTGCATGTAAAATATGCAGGCCAGTCCGCCCCATATCTGGCCCACGAGGCTGAGCCGTATCTTTTTATGGCTGGCCCCTTATGTAGCCCGGCCCATATTTTCCTCCCAATTTGCATGGGCCAGGCCGCCCATTTTGACAGCACTTTTGATAGGTTAGAGCTGATGGCTTAGCATTGAAGATGGAAATATTGCTTAAAGCCAAATATGAGGCAAAAGTACACGACCATTCTCGCCTTAAAAAAAATAGAAAAAATAGACCATTCATGTTTCCTACGACCCTAAACTGAAGTACCCCCACTACATTGTTCTTGTGAAGGGGACACAATATCCAAGGTTGAACAAGGAATTTTTTTTCTCATCATGTTTGACGTGAATTCTATTTTCTCATTATGCCTGATTTGTGGTTCTGTTCAATCCAATTCTTCTTGTCTTATTTTAGAATTATAAAGTTGATAAGGCAACTCTTTGTTGGGAAACCGATTAGCCAAGGAGGTGTGTCACATATGGCATACTTCTTATCGAAGAATCAGTATTTTAATCCTCAACTCTGGTATTGAAGAATGTCAAGCTCGTGATTTCTGAATTTGCAAGCCTTATTACCCGTTTGGTTCATGGTTTCAAACCAGATGGTTTCTCACTAAAATTTAAATTTTTGAGAAAAAACACTGCAGTAGAACCACTTGAACCGGGGTTTGAACCCCTTTACCAAACAAGCACTTTCTTCTACTTTAGGTGTAAGGGAATCCAACTGCAGTAAAAGTAAAGGGGGGAAAAAAATATGGCAGTGGTTTTAATGTATTAAACGCCTAAGCAATAGCCTCGGCAGATATTTAACTCGTTCTTTTGACAAATGACTTCTGTTCTGATGGCTAAGACATTGTACTTTGATATCATAACTAGGTTTTATACTGGATATATGCGTTATTGAACCGCTAGGATCCACTTGTCAGATCTCTAAGTGAACCATTTCTATACAATATCTTACTTTTCAATGTGCTGTTTCAAATGATTTATGATTCCTCATCTGCTAGACTTGTTTAACTATGTGGAACTTTTTCAAAACCTTACCATTCAACTTGTTTATGTTATGCATGAAAACAGCCTTAACGAGACAACAATCTTTCTGTGAGCTGTAGGTGCATAGATGAAGAAAGCAGCTATGTTTACCGCCTTGTTGGAATCGTTGAGCACTCTGGTACCATGAGAATGGGCCACTATGTTGCATATGTTAGAGGGGGTGATAGGAACGGAATGAAAGATGGCGGTTCTACGTGGTTTCATGCAAGTGACGCTTATGTGCGTGAGACGAACTTAAAAGAGGTTCTTGGCTGCGAAGCCTACATCTTATTTTATGAAAAGGTTTGAGGTGGATCCTTTTTTTTTTGCACGTGATGTGTTTTTTGTGTCTTATCAGATACAGTTTGGGGTTAACAGAGCATTCCCCTAAAGAATTTTTAGACAGGGAAAGAAAGAAAAGAGGACAAAGTTTGAGAGAGAGTAACTGGAGTAGGTGAGTGTACAATTACCTTACATTTTTATACCATTCTTTTGACATTTGATGAATTTCAAATATGATGTATACCCTGAAAATTGATCAGCAGTAAAAAAAAAAGGGGGGGGCTTTCTTTTTTATTTTCGTTCAGATTTTATTTTATTTTTTATTCTTTTTAGAGAATTCTTGATGTGGTTGTTTTGGCCAAAATAACGCTAATGTTAACAGAGTATCTCCAAGTTATAAACTAATAAACTGGCATAGATAATGTTGTTTATCTTCCAGTCTTGATCAATTGTGGTTGCTTATTGAGTGGAAAAACTTGCACAAATATGAACCTTGATGATAAGTTAGGTATATGACACATTAAATTCGTTACTAATGAATAAGCTTTGTAAAACTTAGGGATTTTTTTTTTGGCAAAAGAAAAAAGATAATAGGGATCAAGGATGGAAGGTTGGATATTACATAATCGTTCATAGAGTGGATTTGCCCATATATCCTGTCCATTGCGGTGGGACTAACTTGAAACCATGACGTTTTAGACAACGGTCCTTACCACCCCCACCAAGGCCTTATCATGGTAGCCACTAGCCTATATTCTTTTGCAAATATAGGAAATGCTTAAAAGGGGTTGGTTATATTTACAATTCTTCTACCTTGTTCGCACAAACACCATCATAGTTTAAGAAATAGTACTTGAAAAAAAAATAAAAAAAATGGATTTATTATCTCGCCTTCACGGTGGGAAGGAATTATGCATAAGAGAGGAATATCTTCCAATCATCATGCAGTGGCCCAGCAATAAAGGTGGGATATTATTTTTCCCTATTATGCATTTAAGAGAAAAATTCTAAATCATAATTTTTTCAAAGTTTCATTTGGTAATAGGGACAAAATATGATTCATTGTAACCTTTATAAATTGTATTTACGCAAATACTTATTATGGGTGTATAGTTGCAAGGTATTAAAGCTGTATGAGAATTTGCCTATTAAATGTGCAGTCAAACTGATAGGCATATCGCATATTTGTAAATTTATTTTTTGTTTATCTACATGAGGCTTATCTTACCGATGGAACGGTCCTATTATTGTAACATGTTAAATTAAAGTTCTGATATGATATTTATTTAACGTAATATGTATAATAATATAGATATTTAATTATCTTCAATTATTATTACACCTTTCTAATATTTGTATTATGTTAAATAACTAAATTAAAATGTAGCAATACACTAAAATAGTTAAATTTCTTATGGCATGTTAAATTTGAGTTCTGTATGTGAGAGAAGAACTGTCACGCCTCAAAATGAGGGTTAGTGATGTGGAGGCTTGTTTAGACATTAAACATGATTAAGAAAGTAATTAAGCATTTAAAAATATGAAAATCAATCTCAAAAGTCAAGTATTAAAGAAATTTTCAAACAAGCCTCCCATTTTACTGAAATTAGATTACAAGAAAGTGAAGGGGACTTTTACAACTTTTTGATAAAACAGGTTTAAAAACTAAGCCTCTGGCATCATTTAGGGTTTCACTCACAGGATATACAATATTGTACATACATGAACATGTAAATAACATTTACAGACATCAACCATAATCTCGATATTCGAAGTTTATAGGGCTTGTTTGGTTCCGTTTTCGTTTTCATTTTTCACGTTTTCCAAGAACCAAAAAATGAAAATGCTCTGAGGGAGTCGTTTGGTAGCATTTCTTGAAAAACAGAAAATGAAAACGTTTTTTACTTTATCCTTAAAAACTCAGCAAAACTGAAAACGATTGAACATCGTTTTCAGTTTTCCATTTTCATTTTCTATCCCCGATCGATGGACCATTCTTCACCGACTGCACCCCCCACCCCCACACCCAAGCTGTAATCGTAATATAAGCCCCAAGTCGCAACTTGCTCTTCTTCTTCTTCTTCAAATTCCAAGCTGTAATCGAATCTCAATCAAAAAATCAACTCAAATTCCTCTGCCCCCCCCCCCACT